AATAATAATAATAATAATAATAATAATAATAATAATAATAATAATAATAACAATAATAATAATAATAATAATAATAATAATAATAATAGCAATAATAATAATAATAATAATAATAATAATAATAATAATTTAACATCGATGGCGCAGTGTTATAAATCATCAGATTTTTAAATACTCCACGTGGTGTTTTCGTCAATGTTTAAATGTTTAACTGTTCTTCGTTCTACATTACATTTCTAATGCGTGTATAGCTTCTACCGTGATGAGTACCTAACGTTCAATCAACCAAACTTTTGATTTTCACTTGGAAATTTGTTTCGCAATGCGTTTTTCGCGAGTGAGTGACTCAGCGACTCGATCGTTTTACAAATGTACTTTGAATCTTTGTATACCGTTTCTAATAGTAATTACATAAACTGCATGTCAGTACCTATCATAGTAAATAGCAGATTAACCACAGCGGTAGTAGTTTTAGAAGTAAATTTGAAGTATAAAAATGCATGTCAACGATTTTTGTGTTCACAGATCGAGAATAGAATGTTACAGGAACAAGTCGAAAGGTACAACGATCGTATCAGAGATTATCAAGGCAAACCTCGTGCATACAGAAACCAAGAGCGTGGCGTTAACGATTCTAATTTAGACGTTAAAAGAAGATTAAACTATTAGAGAAAAAACATGTGACATATGCGCGTGCGGTGTGTGTGTGTGTGTGTGTCTGGATGTGTGTGTATGTGTCAGTGGCGAATCCAGAATTTTCTTTTTTTTGGTGGGGAGGGGGGTTTGTAAAATGTTTTTCCTTGGGATATTTTTTATAATATTGTAGTCAGTGATTGATAATGAATTAAGATAATAGTAAGTAATATATTACATTAATTTAAATCTAAGACTAGTATTTTCTTGTATGAATAAAAATACAAATTATATACTTTCCATTATACTTTTAAAATCCCCCCCCCCCGTGGATCCGCCACTGGTATGTATACTGTATACCTTATGTAATTTTACGTGGCAATTTGATGTGTGTGTATTTTTTTTTTTTTTTAATTAGTTTTTATTTTGTCGATAATTATTTCTAATCACACAAAAAAAAACCTATTATAATTATATTGACTTGCGTTTTTTCACCGTCTATTATGAATTGCGTTTGCACGTTAAACAATCATTTTTATGTGTATTTTAATGTCCTAAATAGTAGCGTACCGATTAATAGTTTGTCGATTTACACAAACTTGATTTGTAAATCCAATCGTTTTTTATTGCAAATGTGCTTTTATCTAGAGTGTATAGAACGGTATTCTAAACGAAATAATTATTATTGTACAATACATTACGCGTTAAGTTCATTAAAAGTAATTACCGAGCACGGGAAACTCAACCGTTTAATATATTAATTAATGTTATGGAATATATCGAATGGTCTGATATTAAATACATAGACATTATACATGAGCATTATGATTTATTTGTTTGGCATTATTTACCTACAGCCGCTCAATTCTTTCGGAATCCTCGTTTCAAAGGTGTTGATAAAATAGATCGATACCACATTTTTCCTATAAACCGAACTCATTTCCCAATATTGTACTTTTCGCCGGCATTATATGATCTCGACGCGTTCGTTCTCAACAACAGAGTCTTTTGACGGGTATACTCATTTTTTAGCGTAACACGTCGCTTGCACGCATCGTCCAATCGAATCCGAAACGCGTTACTCGAGGTTTTTTTGTTATTTTTTTCCTTCCGACCGGCCACGTTGTCTTTCAAACGTCTTTGTACGCATTATTTTCACGCTTGATTTTTGACAATCGAAGCAGATGGAGAGAGGGCAAGAATGATCGACTGCATTTCGGCGCCGCGTCGCTGGACACACCCGTAACAGCCTTTATATGTATATATTAATATGTATATTTCGTCGGCTGGTACGGAATACGGACGATAATAACAAGACGGAGAAAATCGCACGTACAGCGCGCACAAAAAAAGAATAAAAAAAAAAAAAAACACACCCTCGAGTCAACGGAACAATAGGGAAGTACACGCGTCGCCAATTCGTCACTTTTTTTTTGACACGCACTTCCCCGTGCACCGGCGACATCCCCGGACCTCTCGATATCACAATATCCCGTATACACGTATCCCGTAAACGTACACGCGCACGTCATCGCATAAAGGATATCGTATACTAATCAAACGTCGCGATGTTTTCCGGAGAGCAGCCAACAGTATACAAATCGTAAGCGGCGTGACAGCGGTGAGAGGGGGGAAACAAAAAAAAAAAAAACGCTCTTGACAGACGGGTCAATTGCGATGCAGACGTCATCGATCTGTTCATTTTCGTCGACCGAACGGTTAAACGGCGGAAATCCGACTTCTCCGTTAAAAACACGGTTTCGGCCGATCGACGTGACGGATGATCGATCAGAACTCTGTAAAGATGCATATATAATACGTAAGCATTGTGTTTTATTATATTATCGATGCGTATAACGGACGTTTTCGGTTTCGTTGTTTCGGCGCAACTGACGAGTGCGTTTTCATAAAATTTATAATACCGTGCGCTGGTGCGAGTTTTCGCCGAGCCCTCAACGTAATATTCATCTCGGCACATCTAACGGTAAATCAATGATGGGTTCGTCGGCGTTCTTATCCGGTGAGAAGAACGCGTTCCTCCGGACTGTTGATTTTAATTATTCATTAATGTTTCTTTACGCAGCGCAACATGCGGATATTCAACGAGTGTTCGAACAGCAGCCAATAGAAGGACATCAATCGGAAATGTTCACCTTTATGTACAATCTATAGCCATATACGTAATCGAAATTACGTCCTCTAAACTGTAAAAATCAACTTTTCGTACTTATAACCAATTGTTTTTACAAACGATTTATTTTTTCCTATATCACGGTGGATCTTCAACAGCCGTGAACACGAAGCATTAGAAATCGATAGTCATCTAATACCGTATAGTTTGTACGAAAATTTCTCAAAGCATACCATTATGGACAGCGTTTTGCTCTTGTAGAACGAAAGTAGTTTAATTTTAAAAGTAATTTGTGCCGCAAATAGGGGCCAAGGATGTAAAATTTAAAAATGAAAATAAATTATCGCATCGCAGCGGGAACGAACGTCCGTATGTATCCGAAATGTTTTCCATTTTAATTCGCCGACAAGAGAGGCAGTCGAATATTGTGCAATTTATATTATAGTACGTCAGCATTTCCGTTCATAAATACGCGTAGTATATTTTCCATGGCCGTAACTAGGGTGAGATGAGCGAGGCATTTGCCTCGGGTGCCTGAAGCTGGGGGGCGCAAAAATATTAAATAATTAACTTGTTTTAAGAAATGTTATTTCTTGTTTCGCTAGAAACCTAATCGCGATTTTTCAGATTTTTCCGAATCGTATTTTACATATTAAGAGCTGTGAGTGCGACAACCCTACAACCTAGGGGGCGCATTGGTTCCGTTCTGCCTCAAGACGAAAAATGGCTCGGTACGGCTCTGCGCACAATACGTTAGATGTACCCGGTGTGTACGCCGCGTATCGATCGCGGTGACCAAGACGGATAGTTTCTCGTCGGATTCACAAAAGAGAGCCGCGGCCGTGCAACCCGTAGTACGCGGCTCGAAACGATGACATATTATTATACATTATTTAACGAGTTCGTATCGTCCGAACGTTCCATTCCGTGTAAATACGGTTTATTCGCGCGCTCGACGGTGTATGCGCTCGTCATAAATCATCGCTATGGTTTTTTTTTTCGGCAACGTCGTCGTCGTCGTCGTCGTCGTTACTACGAACAGTGTGCGCGCGCGTTATGTTCCGTACGACGATCGACGCAAATGATTTACAGTTTCTTTTGAAGTGTGTTTGTACGTGTGCTCCGCACCACCCCACCATTGTGATACGTGTGTGTAAATATTTCTCTTAATTTTCAACCGAACCAGAAAGCCAAGAAATAAAATACAATAAAAACCGGCCGTATTGTGCGACGCTGGCCCCGTCGGCGTAGAAATATATCATATATTTATATACCCGGTGCTATATTTTATACCAGTCTTTATTGCGCTCGCGCTCACACGCGCACGCACCGTCTTGTAAACAGAATTTAAATTTTTTTTTTGTTTTTTTATTTTTATCGTTTATTCCGCAACGTCGTAGAAGAATCGTTTTCGCTCCGGAGAGATCAAAAGAAACTCGACGATATATGGTATTGGTAACGAAGCGGAGTGCGTGGAATCGCCCCGCAGAAGAGTGCTGCAGTCACCACCGACACACGTTTTCATGTGTTTGTTTTCATTATTTACAAAACGATCGAAATCATTGCATTTCACGTACGTCCGAATCCCTATCGTAATTAATCTCGTCGATCAAGAGACTATCTTCGAGTCGGATTTCCGATTCGTGTACCGTCGCAAACAAGGCCGTATTTAGAAATTTTTTTCGGGAGGGGTCCAAAACATGTATACGAGTATTGTAATTTTATTGAATTTACATTTAAACTTTTGACATTTGGTTGAAAATAAGTAAAAAAAAAAATTTAATCTTCTTTTATTAAAAATAATATCATATTTTCATATGATATTATGATATAAAATTAAAAGTAGTCAATGATTAATTGGAGCTTAAGTCATTTTTGACTGAAAATATTTATGTTGGTATTAAAAATAAATAAGTATTTTAAACATTCATAAAATATTGAAGAAATTTCGGGGGTGTCCAGACACCCTGAACCTCCCTCAGATACGGCCTTGGTCGCAAATTCCGTTCGAAATCCGATGAGTTTATATTTTACGTGCAATACCGACGCGCATGCGAATGATTCGCGATTCAAAATGATTCACAGCTACGGCTAGAGGAGCCCCCGGGTCGGCGAATTGCGATTTAATTCTTAGACGGTCCGAAAAAACTTCTTATGTGTATCGCTATTATGATGTTCTCTCATAACTAATCATTAAGAATCATCTTAGCGGACACGTCTCCGAGCTACATGAATAATATTATTGCGTGTTCGCTTTTTAAATATGATATATATATATACACAATCAGGTTGTCCGGGAAAACGTGATTTTTCAATAATTCATAGGTTAATAGTTGTGGAGTAATAAAAGAGTTTATTTTCATTTAAATGGTTTTTTTCCAACCATCGTATTCTTTTATGTTCTCTGCGGTGTACGGTCTTGGCTACACACAGTCGTTTGAGTTATAAGTAACACATATTACGTATGGAGCAGTAAATCATTTATCGGCTTTATCCATTTCTTACAATAGTACATATGTTTATGTAGCGCATCCACTAAATATTTAAAACCAGAGTGTTAAACACTTTTTATTTTTCGCGGAAAAGTGTTTAGAAGACCATAATATACACAGGTACGTGTAGTTTGCATAGAAGACATTGTTATGATATCATACGTTTTAAATTCTTGAGATTAAAATCCGTTTTGAAAATATTATCATCTATTACCAAAATCACTAATACTCATAATATACACGTCCACAACAATCTGTATTGTGCGAGTAAAATAATACGTAAAAAAAAAAAAAAAATTCAATATCAAGGAATATGGAAAGATATGCGCAAGATAAAATCTTATATTTATAGGTCGGTTCTTTCGGTTCGGAAAATCAGTCCAACGTACATTCCATAGCCAATAACACACATGCTGGTTCGAGAAATTCCAAAGCTTACACGTTTGGCGTTTCGCGCGCGTAGAAATATCCGGAAAAAGGGATTTGAACCGAAAAAAGCAATACCATAAACGTGTATA